AACAGCGTTGCTGTACCGACCCCGTCGATGGTGTCTGGCACCGCCGCCAAATGAGCCGTCTTGTTCAACCGGTCGACGAATACCACGAGACCTGTGTTGCCCGCCGAATATTTCGGCAGGCCAAACACAAGTCCAAACTCATGGACAGCCAGCACCCGGTGGGTACCTGTAACGGGTTAACACGTACCCTGGTAATAGGGGTGTGTGTCACACGAGATGGTCATGGCGTGACTGCACCCAAATAAGAGTACGGTACGTGGCTGGGTAGCCAGTAGTAATGCATGTATTTAGATTTTACTACATATTTGAAATTAGGCGGCTTTGCCACAGATAAAAAAATAAAGTCAGTTTTGAATTTGAACCGAAGAGTTAATTAGCCTTGGGTTAAGGCTATAATTACTCTTGGAGGAAGCGGATTGCGATCCGCTAAACTCGTACTTGTTCTGAGTATTGAGCGAGAGGTCGGTGACCTAAGTCACGCTTCCTCAAAGCGCAAAGCTACGGCAGCCCCGCTGCAGCGTACGGATCCATCTTCCGTTCGATCGTTGACGCGGTCTCATTGAGCCGAAGCTTTTTTTGTTCAATATGCAGGCTTGCCACGGCCACTCTCTGAATCTCTTCAACAGATGCTAAATGATGTTAGGGCACAAAAAGATAGCCTTCCAGGCTGTCATTATACGCGCCCGTGTTTTGGCCTTACCGGTTCCGACCAGGTCTTCTATGACTTTATTACGGCATCTAATTTTGAGAGTCTATAGCTTCTTTTTCAATGATCGTAAGCGCGAAGGCCAAATCTCATAAATATGAAAGTCGGAGGAGAAATATACACGTGGCCCGCAATTTATGAAGCTGACATTTTCACATCCACAGAAGACGACATGGTGAAATGGAGGTCAAATATTTCCGGATCTCATAGCAGTCGTTAGGGCTAAACCCTTCGGGTGTTACTCGGCAGAAGATTGCTCACATTTTCGAGAAGTTGTGAGGGGACTGCGTTACGGCCTTGAAAATCGTCATGGTATGTTTGAAAATAAGAGTAATACGTCATCAAATAAAAGTTTTCGTCTTGTGGGTCACATTTTCAAATCTTTCGTGCGTCAAATCATAATTTAAATTGTTATGATAGTCAATTTCCCCACTAATTTATCTCGCTATAACTCTTTCACCATATTAAATCCAAGACTGATGACGCGCGGTGCATTCTTGGCACCGGTGCTGGTGCCTGTAAACACCTGTTTTGTCAACCTCCCTCTCGCCTTTGTGCAGTCTTTCTTACAAAGCCCTACTATCGTGCGTTGCGATGACTTCTATCAACAACTGTTGATTATCAGCTAACTTTAAATTGCATAGGCGGATGCCGGTTCCACGATTCTCAAGTTGTCATGGGAGACGCCGAACGGATATATTCGGAGCGTGTGTGTTGGATGGAATGGTGGTATCGTGAAAGATCGGGCGCTGCGCAGGTAGATTTAACCAGGCGAAGTGCTGCGCAGCGAAATCTAACGTGAGCCGGTTATGCACAGCGACGTCATTGAAGTACCCACCGAGTTAGCGTGCTGCGTGGGCATTGTAAGTTCTTCTTGAGATGACATAGAATTTAATTTAAAGCAATGACTGATGGAGTTTGGGCAGAAGCATCATGTGGAGACGATGCCACAGTCCTTTATCGAAGTAAATGTGGAAAATACGCTTCCGATAGCTCGGCAAGTAAACGTAGAGCCTTGCACACCAGATGACTGGGAGCTGATTCAGCTCCATACGGAAAGTATTGAGATGGAGCTTCTGCGACAGGTTTTGTATGCGCTACATTTCTTGTCATGTTTGGAAATGCTGACCCTAGATGACGCTATTCACTGGATGGATAGATGTGTGTGGTCAATGATAAACAAGTGAGTCCTATCTGGATAAACCAGAATACATTAATTCGTATCCAAGTGTCTCTTCCGGATGAAATGTAATTTGACGCGCTATGCGATAAATGTAAATCTTATTTCACGGCTGACTGATATCACCCGATCTTGCCGCACGTTTGATAGGGAATATGCTCGGTTGACTCCGACATCAGAAATTATTGTGGCACCGAAAGAACGTCCAGTATATACAGCGGAGCACAGCTTGAGCCCTGATCTAGATTTTAAGCAATCGCTATTTTTCATGGTCCAGGTAAGTCGGTTACCAAATCAGTTGCGAGCAATGCCTCTTGTCCTTATGATGATATAAAATACACAGAAAAATTTTCAGAATGACTTAACTGACCAAGTGTGGGTACATCCAGAGTCGTTAGCAACACTGTATGGTGATGCGTATTCTGACACTCCATCAAAAGCACAAGATGATCTGGTCGTAGCACTTTGGATTGCGGAGTCGAAAGACACGACCACTATTGAAGCCCACAACAAGCTTTTAAGGTACCATTCGTCCACCTTTCCTAAGATGCGTGGGGCTTAACTTCTTGCGTCAGACAGCAACTTGATTGCTACATTGCCAGACTAAGGGGATCGTATGGTGTTGCGCGGGGTCACATTTTTCTAAATGCAGGAGCGGCAGCTACATTGGGAGCCAGTGTGCGTGCAACTGTTCGTCTTCGTGTCTTAAAACAAGCAGAGTTTCCTCCTTCTTCAATAACTTTGTCCATTCAAACTAATGGGCCTCATGGGCATTTTTCAGCGCTCGCTCGCAATGTTCAACAAGCCTTTTTGCGCTGGATCAGCTCAATTGATTGCAATCACGTCGTCAGCCCGGGCTCGGTACTTAGCTTAACACTGAAAAATGGTAACAGTATTGATGCCATCATTGACATCCAATACGATACTAAAGAAGATAATTGTGCTGAGCAGCACAAAGGTCAGTTCGTATTATCAAATTACCGACGCGACGAGCACCTTCGCTCATCGATAGTTTTGTTTGCTTTTATAGATTTTTCGGCAGGTTCTTTAATGAAGTATACAGTGCTGGGTGGAAACAATAAATATAATCTATCGGAAGATCAAGTGATTGTGCTTGATGCACCTGCCCGCCAACAGCAAGTGTTTGAGAAAATAAATCAAACAGCAGGATCGATTAGTGCGCTGGATCAATCCTTCAAGTTATCACGTGCCACTAAGATTTATAAGCTGTTGAAGAAAGCAGTGCGGCCAATTCTGTCTTGCAATGGGTCAGCTATACGAGTTTTGCTGGGTACAAAATCTCCGGGATGCGCCCTGATGTATGGTGAGCGAGGTAGCGGAAAGTCGACAATTTTACGAACGCTGGTACACGAGGTTCAAACCTCATCGAATTATTTATCTTTCGCAAAGGTTGTCGACTGTCGAGATTTACGCGGACGTAAGATGGAGTCGGTGAAGTCCCAATTGAACGAGTTGTTCGAAAACTCTGCAAAGTTAGCCCCAACTTTGATTGTATTAGATAATTTGGACGCGCTGGTGCCAGAAGAAGACGAGTCGGGTGGTGTCGCAAACGAACAATCTCGGCAAATCGCGGAGTTACTCGTGATCTTGCTGAAACAGAACTTTTACCGAATAGGGAAAGCAACTGCGGAGTTAAATGCATCATTTAAACTAGAGTGCGAAATTATTTCCGGGTTATCTCATAGAGACCAACAACAAGCGCGAAAAAAGCTTCTAGAGACAGTGGGCAATGCTATGCAGAGCAAGAGTGTTGCTATCGTTGCAGCTGCTCGATCCGACACCAACATTCATAAGATTTTGCGAACGTGTGGGCTTTTTGATCGCCCCATTAAAGTCGACCTACCAGATACAGAACGACGTGCGGTAGTGATTCACGAGATGCTACGAATGAAGGTTAACGATGCGAAGTCGAATGGCAATGGAGCGAAGAGCTCGCGGCATATTGCTATTGACCCTGCCATCGATTTTGGACTACTAGCGTCCATGACGGAAGGCTACAATCTTCGCGATTTGTCGAGTGCAACTGACCGTACGTTGCATCAGATGCTAAAACGTTCCGACCTTGAGCAATCGAGCAATTGCTCTGAGGAACTTTACACGGTCAATCAAAACGATTTTGAAAAAGGCATTCATGAATTCCGACCAACAGCTTTGATTGGAGTGGATCTTTTTAAGAGTTCAGTCAAATGGAGCGACGTTGGTGGATTGCATGACGTGCGTGCTGTACTTAGGGATACGCTGGAACTACCCACTCGCTATGCAAAGCTATATGACAACACCCCAATCAAACTTCCTGCTGGATTGCTTCTTTATGGGCCACCTGGATGCGGGAAAACTCTGCTGGCTAGCGCTGTGGCGCACGAATGCGGCTTAAATTTTATAAGTGTAAAAGGCCCGGAAGTCCTGAACAAGTATATTGGAGCTAGTGAACAGGCAATCCGTGACTTATTTTATCGTGCTGGCTCAGCGTCTCCGTCAGTGCTGTTTCTTGATGAGTTCGACTCAATAGCTCCTCGCCGCGGTGCGGACAATACCGGTGTAACTGATCGTATGGTCAACCAGTTGCTCACATTTTTAGATGGCGTTGAAGCTCGCAAGGTTATCGAAGAAGCATATTTACGGATAGCTACCAATTGCGAAGAGTCTTATGTGAGTTGATATTGATACAGGGCGTATACGTACTGGCGGCTACAAGTCGACCGGATATGATTGATCCAGCGCTTCTTCGGCCGGGTCGTCTCGACAAGTCTTTGTATTGCGGTGCGTATGAAGTGACGAGACAAATCATGATGAGGTCATTACTGACTTAAAGTGCTGAAAATATGTAGGGTTTCCAGATGAAGACGAGCGGTTAGATATTCTTCGCGCAGTCTCGAAAAACATGAAGCTTGCTGACGAAGCTCTCAATTTTCTCCCCGTCATTGCAAGAGCCTCGAGAAGTACTTATTTTACTGGAGCAGATTTGCAAGCCGTAAGTGCGAGAACTTTTTTTAGTAATTTTTGCCGAGAAAATTTAACAATGAAAATGTGAATGTGAAGATCATGTACTCAGCACAGCTCGAACTTGTGCACGAGAAGCTCAATGGTAGCGGCCACAAGTACGTAGTCTATGTGTCAAGAATGATAATGATCTGAATTGCATAATACTCTTGACTCATTCTTTTTAGTTTAATCACCAAAGATCATGTGCAAAAGTCGTTTCAGAACGCCAAGCCATCAACTTCTGAGGCCGCTCGTTTGCAGTTCGAGCGCATGTACGCGAGTTTCTCCAAGGCGCGCAAAACGGACTTTGCACTTGCCGAAGCCAACGTTTCTGCAAGCAGCGATTCGCCTAAGTCGCATTTTGAGCAACGCACTGCCCTAGCTTAACCATCGAATCCTATACAGTTCCGATTAGTTGTAATAATTTGTAGTCACTTTTTCGAAATCTTATAAAAGTATCTAACATGAACAATTAAGACCCCTAAATTTCCAACATGGTCAACATCGTGAGTCTCTCGAGTCTTAACGACCGCCATGGCGACGACCGCCGCGAAAATGCTGACCAGTCCAACCAGTATTACGCTGGTGGGGCTTCAGATCGCGGTGGTGGAAGTGGGCTTTCAGTCATTGGGCCCGGAAGTGGTGGCGACCACGTGGCCAATATAATCGGCCGTGCCCAGCAGGATGCGCGTGCTGCTGCTGCGACCGGCAACTCGACGCAACCTCGACACGTGATTACGTTTTATAGAGA